GCCCTTCTTCTTGGCCAAGGCACCCTCCAATAGCAGTCTCTTGGTGTCCACAGGCATCTCTACAAGAAATTGTACCAAACAAGACGAAGAAGACAAGGACAACGGAGATGAAGGTGAGCAACTGAAACCGAGGGCTCTAGCGAAGCAAGAAACTCTTGGAAGCGAAAGCACTAGTGAACAAGTGATGGCCAAAGCCGAGGCCCCTATTTAAAGAAAAATTGATGACCTAGATCACGTGGGGTCCAATGACAAACAACTGCCTTTGCTACCCGTCAGTTGACTGACACGCGTGGCCTGCCTCGGGTAGACAAAACGACGCCTGGCAAACTAAAACACCTCCTGCTTCGGGAACTGCTTCCTTCATGACCCACGACACCGCATAAAGAGATCCCTCACAAAGCGACCAAGGCACCAGCTCGGGTACCCTTGCACTTCTTCCTCGGCACCCTCAACCGAAAAAGAGGCCTCGCGAGATGCACCCAGCATTCACAAGACTGGGGGGCAACCTCCCTTTCGCCCACCTCGCACCACGGCAAACTCGGAGCCAAAGCCAAGGCCCCCCTCTGCAGGTGCAGCCGAGCCAAGGCCCTGCATGAGCCTCAACCATCCTCGTAGTTCAAAGGAAAGGCATACCGACGCCACTGCAGGCCACGATGCGCACAGGTCCATCGACACCTCCTGGTACGAGACAATGCACTCCCTTCGGCTGAAGCTGAGGCCCCTCCTATCTCGAACCCCCACCTTGGCCTCGGGAGTAGGGGGCAAATGATGTAGGCACATCCAGCTGGGCCAATGGCGAGCCTACACGTGTCAAGCGACAAAGCACAGAGGAGAACCAATCAGGTTGCGGGTAGAGCCGATGCCAGCACCTCGTGTTGGACTAGTTAGGGCACACACTAGGTTGGGCTTGGCAGGCCTCGCGGAGCCAATCGCGCGCCCTCACCTGGTGCTCCCAGATGATCAAGCCCTCGGTACGGACTGCATCTAGAATGTCCGAGGTCACCTACCCCCTAGCGACCTCAAGTATAAATAGGGGGCAACCCCCTCTAGGTAAAGGGGGAATACTCCACCTTGTACCCTCTTACCAACTTGACCATCGTCGGAGTCATCACCTCAGATCTTCACTCGAGGCCTCTGACATTCTCCTTCCTGCAAAAGCAATACCGGGATCCTCATCCACCTCGTGTACCGGACACAACGGATATCGGACCATGGACCACGGATCTCCCTCATCATGGACTCTACTCCTCGGCCATGCCTGTACTCGAACTTTCAATACCTTGGGTCTACTTGGACTTGGGAGTGAATCGACAATGTTGACCTCGGCCAATATGAGCATCAATAATATCTATTTAAACTCCAAACTGCAATCTAAACTCAAACCAGTGAACTTAGAATGGAGTTATCTATCGGCGATTCTTCCCTTCTTCGTTTTTTCTATTGCAAAAAAAAAAAAAAAAAAAACCGAAATAAACATATTCTAGAATATCTGAGATGATGAGAACGATAGGGAGTACATACCTTCGTGTATTTGTCGGAACGATCGTTGGCATCGCATTCTCTGACAAGGGAGGAGATGGGGCAGTTTCAGAGGGCAGGTCGATAGAAAGAGTGAGAGACTGAGATTTGAACTCGAAAGAAGGAAATTATTTTTTTTGGATGAAATAAAAACTAACGGGACAAGCTAACGGCTATCCCATTAACTTGGCACCAGGAGCGCAAGCCGGTGGTGGAGACAGACTAGAACTCGTAGGGAAGATGTTCCCAATGCACACACAATATGTGGGGAGGGTGTGGTGCATCAATATAAATTCCCTCGGAGGCGGCAACCATCAGGACTTGTGGCTCCACCAACTCATTCTAATGCAGCAATAGGGGGTGGGTGTCTCACCATCTCCATTAGGTGTGGTCAATATAAAATGTAGCGTTAGAAACTTAGTATTGGAGCCACTACATTGGGCCGCTTTTGGAATCGGATTATATTTCATCATTTTGAAATCTAGGACTGCATCTTCCACATCTTTTGGATGATAGCTTAGAGGCTTAGAGTTAAAAAAAACATTTTGATGCTTCTAAATCTTGGAGGGTTATAAGCGCTACTTTTAACCTTGGTTAAAAGAAAAGGTAAATTACAAGGACTCCCCCTGTATTATGGCTTTTGTCACCCTTTTTCGTTACAATATTTTTTAATTCCCATATTACATTTATAATAATTATTCCCGATCTCACGATACACGAATAATAGCGACGACAGACTTCGGAAGTCCTCCCCCTTTCTCTCCTCCATTTTCTTCCTTGCTGCCAACAAAAATGAAATCATCCCACTACCGCTTTGCCCTTCTCTGAAAATTCTGCTTCAAGATTGCCTGTACTTGTAATTTTGACTTGAATATTTCACAAGAAGCTTCTTCGCTCATAATCATAACTAAAAAGTATGAATTACTGAATAAACTGAAGGCTAGTGCACCACACACAAGATGGTCAATATCAAATCTCCAAAATCAAATAGCCCAAGCTTCAAAACAGGACAAAGTATATGAACCATAAGCTTACAGAGTACAGAACTACAGATAAAAAAAGCCAAAGAATCCCCTGTTCAAACCAATTTTGGTAGAATAAACTTGATGACAGGGAAAGTATAACCTTTGGTTCTCAAAATGGAATGGGTCAATTGACTATGCTGTTGAGCTAAAATCCTATACACGGCTTACCTATCAAAAACAAAATCCTATACATGGATTGGCTTGATGATGAATTAATTCAAAATAGCACTCATAGATAGGAAAAATGATAACAGAATATAGCTCAGCAACTCTAAGGAAATGCACTTCAAACAAAACCAACCTTCGAGCACTGCTCCGAAGACGATGTTTGTATTATCAAGCTGCGGAGACGGCCCCGGTCCCGTTGTGATCAGAAACTCAACATTCCTGTAGTTGGGGTTAAGCTTGATCTCCTCATCGTCGTCATTTTCAGACAAACACAGGCAAAGCGGTGGTGGGACGGTTTCATTTTTGTCGGCAACAACGAACGGAAAACAGAGGAAATTGGGAAGAAGAAAGGGGAAGAGAGAAAGGCAAAAGGGGAAGAAGAGAGAACGGGGGAGAGAGAGAGGGAGGACTTCGAAAGTCCGCCGCCGCTGCAACTGCTACCGCCTGTTGTTCGTGTATCGTAATTCGTAAGATAGGAGAACAGTATATTTTTTTAAATAGTTATTAGATAATATGGGGATTGAAAAATATTATAACGCGAATTTTAAACGGAAGGCTAACGGAAGGGGTCTTTATCTTACGGTCATAGTACAAGGGGTCTTTGTTACAGACCCCATAGTATAGGGGTCTTTATAATTTACCCAAAACAAAAGCTATTATATGGGTTGTGCTGGGCCGCTATGGGATCATGTCGTACTGCGCCAGTGGGCCGTGTCGTCCTAAGCTGCAGACCATACTGGCATGGCCCACTTTATTGTATCATGTTATGCTGGCCCGTGGGCCTCAAAACCCAAACCCCGCATAGTGCAGGGGTATGGGCCGACGGCCCAGCCAGGTCACTGTAGTGACTAGGCCATGCCTGGTACAACTCATTTCGTTCCACTTTACAGCTCTACTACTACTAAACTTTGTATCTGACAAAAAAAAGAAAACCCTTTGCCTTGGGTTAAAATTTGAATAAACTGGGTTTGTTTCCTGTTGAACTACACCAAATTTATTGTATTCCGACTTGACATATTTATACATGAATCTGTACATGTTGCTATATAATTGTTTACAAGAAAACAAAATTAGAAATTTAGGTTCTGTTTATTTGCCTGTGTAATTCTGAACGAGATACAAAATTTGTACTCGTTTAAGTTGTTCATCACTTCATCCATTTGTTTGTGATTATGATTTGTATGCTTGCATTTTTGCATCTGAAAAACAGATAAATACAAAATGAGACCACATCATTTTACTTATTTTATTTTTCGCAAACAAATGGTACAGAGTCAAATCTGATGCAAAACTAAACCAGAATTTACATACAGCCAATTTGAACTTCCATGCATTTACACCAATGCAAATGGAATTCACACTAATACCAAATACCAAATATAGGACTTGATCATCCAGAGGGATGAAGTGAAGTCCTTGTCTCAGAGGATCCCTTGTAATCACTGGAGCTAGAACCCTTGTCATCAGACTCAAATACTAAATGGACTCCAGTCTTTCACCCACAATCCCGTTGTGTTTGTATCTATTGAAACAGCGACGAGATGCCCTGCTCCCAACTCCTTAGTACATGGTTAGTAGCAGATCCACATCTGTGCTTCACGATATATTCTTATCCAACAGAACTCTGGTATGTGGCGATAGGAATAACCCAGTGTTAGACTATGGACATAGGCACCGGGAATAAATAAACCGTGATCAGTTCCTTCATGAGCCACACAGATAGCACATATAATTAGCCCTTGAACCACCTTACGACCCAAAACTCCAGGGACCTGAAGAAATATCAAAGGCCCCATGGTTCTGTTGTCAAACCATATTGGAACCTCACCTCCAGGTACAGGTAGAATGGTGTCACGTACATACCCTCGCTGTTTCATGGAAAGCTTGATGATCAACAACAATCTCACAGATATTTATACATGTAGAGGAGAAGAGAGAGAGAGAACCTGGAAAACAGTAAGGAGATTCTTCCAAAAGTTAAGTGTCACACTGTTGCAGTCATCTGACCTCAACACACCCTGAATCTCTTCTAAGTTCTCGCTGCTATTAAGGTACAAGGACCACGAATTCTGTAGCTTTGACAGATCTGGCAGTCTCATCGATGTGCAACCAAAGGCTTGTAATGTATTCAAACTTGATGGAAGGCCTTGCAGTGATTGAAGCCTTGTGCAATTGCTTAACATAAGTTCATGTAGCTGAGAAAGGCAACTTATGTTGGTTGGTAGGTTAGAAATACTGGTTCCACATAGATCTAAAACTGCCAGTGAGGATAAGCTCCCAAGGTTTGATAATCTCTCCAATGATTTACAATTATTTGCTCTCAACTTTGTTAAGCTTATTGGAAGCAATGGGAGTGATTTTAGCCTCAAGCAATCTCCCAAGTTCAGGTACTTGAGCTTGGGAAAACAACCGAGGCTGTCTGGAAGGCTACAGAAATTGTTATTACCTAAATACAACTTTTCCAATGAAGATATGCTACCAAGTGCACGTAAAACTGCACCATCTGACAGACCACAAGAAGAGAGGTCTAATTTTCTTAGGAAGCATAAACCAAAGAGCAAAAACCAGAGAGGAAGTAAAGGAATCAAAACAAGAGAACGCTGGAAACTTATCGAGTTTGGAACAGCCAGATAGAATAAGCTTTTTAAGAGATTTCAACTTACAAATGCTGTGAGGAAGATTTCTAAGTTTCTCACAGTTCTTCAGATTCAAAAAATAGAGCTTGTCAAGATATCCAATGGAGTTGTGAACTTGGACCAAACTTGTGCGACCTTCAAGTACCAATCTCTCAAGATTGGGAAGTCCTAAAAAATCTGGAGTCTTCATTAGGTAAAGGGATGACTGAGATTAAGCACCTTCAAGCAAATTATGCCTGTCAAATGCATCCCCAAAACTCCCAGTTTGGTTTGGAACATCCGAGGGTTCTACATCATAGAAAAGGGGTAGAACCCACTGGCCCAGCGTTTTCCTGCATTCTAAGATGTTGACTAGTTCATCAAGACACCACTTTGAAGAAGCATAGTTCCTGGAGAAAACCACGATAGCAATTCTTGGTTCTCTGGTTGCTTCCAGTATTTCCACCGAAATTTCTTCTCCTCTATTGAGCTCTTATCATCTCTGAAGGTATGTATCCCTCGTTCTCTGTAAAGCTCTTACATGTATCTTCACCTCTGAAACTCAAGAATACATGACAATTTCATCGACATGAGGCTGCGACTGCTCCTGTGGTCATCTTGAGAGAAATTTACCATGGGAAGGAAAGAGGAGTGCAAGCACGTACGAGAGAACGAGGGGAGGGGATGGATGAATGTGAAGAGAAACTGAACTGTGTTATAGTTAGTTGACTTTAGATGCTCTATAACATGATACAATAATAATAGTGATAATAATAAATCTCTTGAAAATTGAAATTATTCCCTGTTAATTTATCATTGTGTATTATTTTTAAATAATTTGATAATACGCATTGTCAAGTGAAAGGCGTTCCCCTTCCCTTTGGCTGTATGATACTATGATACCATACTAATAGTCTCAAAGTTTGTTTTGGTAAGTCTAGCGTTATAAGCATGAGAGTGAGACTAGAAAGTCCAAGATAACGGCTTTGACATGGGGAGATTAGCCAGCCACATATTTAGACTTGGGAAGGAGATGCATTTCTCATTTCTTATTTCTCTATTTGAAGAGAGGGACCACCTGGGATTATCCGCTATTCTCATGCCATGATTCCCATCTCCAATGGGCTTTAACTTATATTAGTATACTGTCTACATAAACAGGAATATTATTCTTCTTTCCCCACTGCGTTTGGTGGTGGGTCTGTCCCTATGGTCTACAACCTTCCTACCCTCTTGTTCTGTATAAAATCTTATCACAAACTATGAAGTGGGTTTTCGTCATGTCATCATAAAATTTAATAACTAATTGAATATCAAAAAGAAATTTGACATCTACCTACCCACGATGTATATATCTATCTTTGGTCATGTCAATGTCCGATCCGAGGGGGTATGTTGTGCGTTGTGGGGCACTCCCTGTGCGGCACAGATGTGAATTCGACGACTCCACAGTGGATACCATATACTACTCACTGACTAAAGGACATTTTGACAAGTCAAAATGTAGATACTAGTTTAATTCGCATTTGTAGGCGAACACCATTATACTAGTACTTTATTCTTTGATATTTGGTGACACACCATTAATAACCCCTCTTCCCCAAATTAGCCATTGTGGGGATCATTTACATCAATGCTGGAAGATCATACAATACATGAACACTTGGTTCATGTTAGAAGTGATTGCCCTAACATCTCGTTAGTTTGTTTGTTGCTTGTCCAACGGAACAACCTTCTCCATTGCAGTAGACCATAAAGGTTAGAGGTAATATTAGAATTAGAAACATCGCCCTGTTCGTTTTTGGTAAATTATTTACCTGAGTAAATACAATTACCTAGGTAAATTTTTCTTGAAAAACACTTACCCATGTTCTTTTATTTCTCAAGTAAAAAAGAAAATGACTTTTAGCCATAAAAAAAATATTATTAAAAAGGACACTTTTGTCCCATGAAAGTGTTAGAAACTTTCCCCCCATGTGAGGAAGTTATTTATCTACCCACCTAAGACATGGGTAAGTGATACCCAAAAAAAAATAAACTTTCCTTAGTCTCCACATTAATTTGAAAAAAAGAAGGAACCAAAATCCAATTGACCAACTTCCCCCCTCTCAAAATCCAAAAAAAGAACGCTCCCTAAACAACATCATTGTTGGTTACTTACATATGAATCCTGTTTCGCCATTCAACTCTGCATTGTCTACCCTAGCTCTTCCAAGAAAGAAACATATACAACACAATTACTTTTATATGGATACCAGTATGAATCCTTCTTTAAAGCAGCTATACATTGACCATTTAGATCATATGTTGCTTCCAATTCCATACCTCTATATTACAAGTAAAGAACTTCATGGGGCTGTGGAACCAGACAAAAATGCCATGTATTTAGTATCAAATGTAGAATGAACACTGTCCATAGTACAGGATAACAAGAAACATCAACATGAAAATGAAACTCAATTGCATTGATCAACAACATGATATAGCATGATTTAGAACTAAATTATGGTACATGGCCTACAAGAAATCTAATAATATCCATATCACAAAGAAAGAAAAGAGATCATAACTTATTTAAAAATTGTTGTGCTGTAATAAATTTCAAAGTTAGTTTAATCTTCTCCTTTTACGTGCATGATGAACTCCTCCATCTACGTCTACAGAACCAGACACACTATTTCTCCTTCTTCTTCTGAGGGTACGAGAAGAACTCCCACTGTTTGGCTCTGACGGGGCATCAACAGGAACTCCAGCATCATCCTGAATCACGGCCATTGTACTTGAAGCAGAAACCTGATCTGCAGCTACCGTTGCTTCTCGGGATCCTTGAACATTAGGATTGGAATCTTGTGGATTCATGGATGACGAGGCACCAGACTGGTTACCACTGTTTCCAAACCTCCTCATCATCCTAGATAAGTCAGCAGCCATAGCAGCCAATCTATCAGAAGTAGAAACACTGTAAAAAGCATGCCGGGGCCAGAAGCCAATACCGTGTCGTGCAATAGCAGGTGGTGTACTTCTTGATTCACCCCCATGAAGCCCTTCAGAAGGTGAATTACCATTTTCAGTGTAGCTTAAAGCCACTTCAACAGCATTTCTAGATGACTCACCTCTCCTTGTATCCAATCCACTTTCTAAATTGTCCCCCATATGAAACCGCTGGGCTGTCACAAGCCTGGAAAGCAATCTACGGCTCCTATTTGAAGCACTAGCTCCATCAACAAACCTCTGTGTACTCGGCTCTTCTTGCCTGTCTAAATTTCCATTGAGTATTTCTCCACCCAAAATAAGCCTCAATGAGTTAATTTCTTCCAACCTCTGTGAAAATGGTCTCCTTATTTGTTGCCTTAAACTCTCAAATCGATGTCCGCGTGGCCTAGGAGGTATCTTCAAATCTGAATTCCCAGCATCCTGCCCCTTCTGCTTATCCCCTGTCTCAGAGTTCCCCCGTCCATAAATAGGAATTATTTTGGATTCAAGTACCTCCCCCTTGCATACAGGGCACTCCCTATGATCACAGTGAAGATACAGCCACTGATACAAACAAGGCCAACAAAATAGATGACCACAAGAAGTAACCACTGGCTCCTTGGCCACATCCAAACAGATATTGCAATCAAAATTTGTGGTTCCACTAGCTTGTTCCTTTGCTCCCTCTTCCGAATCCTGTGCTGCAATGCCTTCCAAATTTGTTTTTTGGGTCTCACTATTTTCTTCATTAGATTCCTCGGTTGTCACACTGCGCAAGGCACCATTCTCTGAGGAAATTGCACCAAGATTACGGCTAAGACCATAAGGAACTGTTGATCTGAACCTACGAACAGGCCAACGGCGGCGATGTGACTCGACCAATCTCCTGATACGATATTCCGGATACTGAAGAAGCACACGGTGCAAAGGGCTGTCTCGAACTAGAGTATCTCCGCCCCGTCCAGTTACCTGATGTGCGCCAAACCCAGTGGCTTCAGGTACCAATCCACTAGAGACACCATGCTGGGCTTGATCAGAAGGACTGACTGGGATATATGGAATATGTGGAATATCTTCTTGGACTAAGGGTTCACCAGAGGAACCGGGGGTTGACAATGAAGCAGGCACATAAGACGGTGAGTATGGAACGTATTCCACATGGTTGCCACCTTCGTGGACCATAGTTTCAGAGCCATCATTCCCAGTAGCTGATGCTGGAGCATAGGACGGAGAGTAAGGAGAATGTTCAGTAAGTTCATTCATGTCCTGCCCTACAGGTTCCGGGCGCGCTTCCACAGTCGGAATGACAGAATCATAAGATGGGGAGTAAGGACTATACTCAGGATGGGACCTGCCTTCCCCAACCAGCGGTTCAACATCAGATTGCGTCGCTTGTGGAATAGACGGATAAGAAGGGAGCGACGAGTAGTCGGGACAGGCAAAGGAGGAATTTTCATGAGAATCTAGAGGTTCCACAGCTTGCGGATTCGGGGAAAATGAAGCATGAGATGGGGAATAGGGAGCATGAGAATCTGAGGCCTCTGCATAATGAGACATCTCTGTAGATCCACGAATTTCTGCCTCGCCTGATGCGGATAGGGAGCCAAGAGAAAGATCAGACCCAAGATCCAATTCCCTACGACGTGCTGAATGAGGAAGACCGAGATACAAATTCAGATCCATTCTCCTGTTTTGACCTTCATTTCCCTCATCTGCCATCCCCAAACCAAACCCCCCCAAAAAAAACCCTAATCTCTTCTTTCTCTTTTTAATCCTAAAACTTCATGGTCTGATGGTTTCAATCAGGAAAAAAAAGCCAGAAAAATTATATATCATAAATCCGCAAATTTTTCAGAATTCAAGAACATAAAGCCTATGATTTCCAAGAAAAGAACAAAAAAGAAACAAAAAGCCCTAAATAAACCGCAAAAATTGTGAAGATATTCGACCTCAAGAAAAACTGAACAAAACCCTAATTGTCCTTCGATCAAGACACCGGAACGAACACCACCTCTCTTCAAAATTTCGAACTCCGTACAAAGAATCGATTTAGCGGTTCAGGGTACCATCTATTTGGGTTGGTTCGGGGAAACAAATAATAAAACCCTAGAAATTCGTACCTGCGAGTAAGGAAGAGGAAACAGTAGTAATCGCGGCGAAAACATCTACTTCAGTCTGAGTCTGACTTGACAGAGGAACTGTTGCATTCTTCAGAGGCGATGGGAGGGATTAGATACAGAAATTCCTTCCAGAACGACTGGAAGGAAGGTTGGACTGAAAGAAGTAAGTCTTACTTGATTTTCCTTCCCGAGAGATCTCTGCTCATTCATTGTTTCCTCTTTTCGACAGATGGTTTTGGGCTCGCTCCTCGCTGGCCCTAGAGTGCGTGCGGGGACGCCTTCAGCCTTCTTGTAGTTGAGCTGATACGGGAGAGTCGCGCCGCTCTCCCTATTTAACGCTTCCACCAAGACCTAGCGGGCGCACACGTTGGTACGCGCCAATCCTTCTTCCTTTTTCAAGGGCTTTTTAGTTTTAGTCAGGTCCCGCCGGGGTGCAAATCGGGCCGGGTTAGGTCGGGTTGAAATCAACCCTAACCCAATCCGATCTAAAGTATTCAGGTTGAATTCTGGTTTATCCGACTTTTTAAGTACTAAACCGAGCTTCAACCTGACCCAACACAACTCAACTTTTTGGGTTGGGTTCGGGATAACCCAGCCCAGTTGCACCCTAATCAAGATTCAAAGTTATGCTGCCAATAGCCATGGTTCTAGCCATCTCTCATAAATTATCATGTTCTAAATACTATAGTAAATCTTCGTTTTCAACTCATAAGATGAAAAAAAAATACTATAAGATAAGATTTACGGCATAACATAATGATCATTTTAGCCATAAAAAATTATTATTAAAAGAGACAATTTTGTTCCATCAAAGCAAATTGACATTTGACAATTTATCTTTCCAAAAATGAGAAAGCTAGGGATGGGTATTATCATTAATTATACAGACGATTTTTGATAGACCTCACATAGATCTGAAAAAAAAAAAAAAAAACATAAGTATTTTGATTAATGAAAACCAAAATTTCATTAACTAATTTTACCCTCTCAAAATCAAAAAACGAAGACCCTAAGTGGTTATTGGTTAGTTAAAATGAATTAGAGATTACCCCAAACAAGCTAACTGAGGCTACTTTCGATCAGAGTTGGTATAATGCCAGAACCAACCAAATGGTGTTAAATTTGAGGCAACTCTAAATTTGATAATAGATTATGAGAAAAACGGCCATACACTTCTACTGTTTTGGAGCAAGACTAAACATATAGAATTCAATGGGGTTACTTTCCCTGCTGACACCATGAGAAAAGTGCTTCCTTACTGCTTAGAATTTTTCTCATTTGAGATTTTATTTAAATCATTCAATTCAATTCACTATCCTGTAATAAAGCACCATCCTATCTCACTTCAGAAATATCCCCTTTCATTGTTCCTAAACGCTAATAACACTCGAAAAGGAAAGCAAGAGAAAAAAATGCAACTCTTAACCATGACAAGTCCCATCAAAATATTACTACCAAGAAAAAAAAAATCTAAGGGGTAAACCAAGGTTTTAACCCCATAACTATGACTGCCATGACAACCACACCAGCACCAATAGCAAGTATCTTGAGTCAGTTTTCTGTATCTCCCAACATCAACCGGTTCTCCAGAGTCTGTAGAGCTGTTCTTGTCTTTTCAAGCTGCTGCTGTTGCTGCTCTTGTTCCTACAATTACCAAACAAATATGTGGAGCCATTATGCACCTCAAGATTAAAACCAAAAAGAGGAAAGAAAAAACTAATGTAAACCACTCCCAACAAACCTTTTAAGAAGAGTTGCCTCACCTTATCATTGTTGCTCTGCAATTTCCCCTTTTGAGTCTTCCTCAGCTTTCCTAGACCCATGCTACTGAATGCCTTCTGTGCAGTGTCCTTCAGTTTGATATTGTTCTCCTTCTCTTCTGCAACGAGAGTCAACAACTTGGCACTTTTCAGTCCACTACCCGACTCCAGTTTCCTGGCGCTATTGTCAATGTTCTCCTTGTCATCCTTCAAGACCCGGATTGCCTTTCGAATTGGTGTTTGCTTTTTGCTGGATGACTTCCTCGGTGTCACTTGAATCTGAAGTGGTAAATGATGCTTGGAGTCTGATCCAGGTGCTCCAAGGCTTAAGCCTGCTAGAACATTGGTCAGAGTTTGATCAGTGGCTGAAATCTCATGGGACGTTGGAGCCTCAACCAAACATGGGATGCATTCCTTGGTTGCTGAAATCTCATCAATCGTAACAGCAGACTCCTCAGCCACTGTATCTGAAGCTGGCCAATACTTCTCTTTCTCTGCCTTAGGAACCTCATGGTCAGCCACTGTATCTGAAGCTGGCCAATACTTCTCTTTCTCTGCCTTAGGAACCTCATGGTCAGCAGTATTCTCTGCCTTAGGAACGTCCATCTCAGGTTGATCAGCAACAGTATTCTCAACTTTCAATTGTATATCTTCAGGAACATCATCTCTTATGGAACAACTGTCAGAACTTGACTCCAAAAATGGATCACAGTTCTCCGGTTGTTCAGGAAATAGTTCCGTGGAGTTTGAGTCCTCCTTGACAGGATCACATTTCTGCAATTGATCAGGGACGGCATCTTCGACTTTCAATTGCATGTGGATTCCAACCTTTGCCAAAAACTGGTGGGTGGAATTTATCAGCTCCCCCTGAGAAATTTCAACAGTTTTCTCGGTTGGGTCTTCATGATTTGCTTCTGCACTGCAATTTTCATTCTCCAAACTGCTCATGTATTCATGTATTGCAATCTCCATGGATTCGAAATTCCCTAATTCTGGGATCAAGGAAGATTCTTCAAATCGGGATTTAATCTTATTGCATCTCTTACCATCAAACTCATCTTTGGCAGCTTCTCTCGATGCCAAATGGCAAGTCTTGCTCTGATGGTCTTCCCATGCACTCACCTCAGAATCTCTGTTTTCCAGGTTTTCTTCGAAATTTGGGTCTTCGACATGTTTTTGACGGGCATCATCTGTACTATCTTCAGGCTGCTTGTCTCCATTAGAATCTTCAGCATCAGTTTCCTCATTAACTGGAACCTCATCCGACACAGGCTCAATACCAATAAGAACAATATCAGCAACAGTTTCTGCGTAAGTGAGCATTGATCAGGCAACCCAATTCCCAAAAGAATAAAAGATATAAATGAAAAGGCAAAAAAGGCACATTTTAAATGGATTAGACAAGAAATTGAGAATGCACGAAAGGATAGAAATAAAGCACCATACCTCTGTTTTGCTGTACTTCATCATTTACATCACTGATCGATTTAGGCGGTTCATTGGGCAAGACAGTTTCAGAAACATCAGATGATTCTTCGGATGCCTTGTTTTCTTTCTTCTCCAAATCTTCAGTCTCTTCCTCAGACAAATCGGCAATCTTAATGGCTTCTGGTTTCCCTCTTCCTTTCTTCTGAACCGATTCAGACATCTTTTTTTCAGCCAACCTCGCGGATCGCCTCATACTGTAAACACGCGTAGCAGTATTTTCCTTCTGTTTCTTTTTGACTTGTTTCTTATCATCTTTTACATTAGTACTTACCGATTTGGACGGCTCCTTGGGCAAGACAGTTTCAGAAACAACAGATGAGTCCTCGGGTGCCTTATTTTCTTTCTTCTCCAAATCTTCAGTCTCTTCTTCAGACAACTCGGCAAACTTAATGGCTTCTGTTTTCCCTCTTCCTTTCTTCTGAACCGATTCAGACTTCTTTTCAGCCAACCTCGCGGATTGTCTCGTACCGTAAACACGCGTAGCAGTATTTTTCTTCACATTGGACAAGACGGTCTCAAAAGCATCAGATGATTCCTCGGGTGCCTTATTTGTTTTTTTCTCCATATCTTCAGTCTCTTCTTCAGACAACTCGGCAATCTTAATGGCTTCTGTTTTCCCTCTCCCCTTCGTCTGAACCGATTCAGAAATCTTCTTTTCAGCCAACCTCGCGGATCGCCTCGTACCGTAAACACGCGTAGCAGTATTTTCTTTCTGTTTCTCTTTGTCCTCCTCGACGTGGGTAGCTACTTTCTGATGAGTTGAAGCCGCCATAGTTCTTCTCCGGGAACATTGGTTAATGGGTGTCGCCAGTATTTCTGTTATATTACCTTCACCTGGTTTCTCGACCAATATCTTGGAATCTTCTTCCTTTTGTTGTTCCTCCTCTTGGATGATTCTTCTTCTTGTCCCCCGGAGAGTCCGAGTAAGAGGAAGAGAACTTGGGAGTTCATTCTCGATCAGAACGACCTGATCTTTAACGGGTTGTTTCCGGCGAGTTGAGGTTCTGCGGCAGGTTTTGGGGAGATCCGGAGATCGGGTCTCTGTCTTCCGTGGCGTTTCACCAACAGGTTGTAGGTCTTCGGACGCAGTTGTTGGATTCCTAATCTCTTCGATTCCCTCCACCTAAAAAGAACAAAAGAATGACATAAAAGATCCGATCAACGAAGAAACAAAACATGCATGTTAAGTGAATTAAAGAAAAATCGTTAATGGGTTTACAGAAAGAAATAACTTACATTAATGAGAGCATTCAGAGCATCGGCCATGTCCACGTTGGTCATGTTGGCCGGTATTCTGTTCTTCTTGCAGAGGGTTTGGAGCTCCTTCCTTGAAAGGGTATGGAAATCCATAGTAGAATGGAAAGAAATTGAGAAACCTCGTAAGCGAAAGGACGAGAATAGGTGATACAGACGCTAGTGCAAAGAAGAAACTGAGATGAGAGCAGTGAGAAAGGGAGGGGAAGATGGAGGGATTATATGTAGAGAGAAAGATGGAGAGACGTAAGCAAAGCAAACCATCGGAGGAAATGACCGTTTAGAATTTCGAAATTCAAATTCTGCTAAATGCAAGGAAATTAACCAACTATCCGCCACATTCGTCGAATGCGTTTCGTTCGGAATTCGGGTGAGGGCCGTGAGACCACCGGAGAAGAAAACTTTGTATGCTCGTCAGCTCGTAGGCCTTGACAACACATTTGAGATTCGAATACGTAGTTTTTGGAGAGACCGGATCTGCTCCTCACACAGGGCGCCTCACAACGACCTCACAGGACTTTGGAGTTTGGACCCTGAACATGGATCCGAAGTTCCGAACACAATTACCGAAAAATGGTATGGATCCGGACTCAGAACCTTTCTGAGCTCTGGGAGCCCAAAGAGAATTATGTGATTGTACTCATGGTTGATCGTGGAGGATCCAATCAAAACTCAAAAGATAATTATGGGGATTGTACTATGGTGGGACACAATCCTATAGAATGATCAAAACTCAAAAGATTTCAGGCCTTCAACCTTTTTTATTTGTGGCGGGTCCCAAACTCCCAATCCATTTACCGGAGTTGAATTCAAAGCATTGGGCCCGGATTTTATACAACACCCACCACCCTGGAATCTGGATTGGGCCCTATCTCCATGCTGATTATGATGCTTTGTATTGGGCTTCGTTAATGAAGTTTTCCTTTTTAGAAGGGAACCCCAAAAAAATACCTTAAAAGCGTTGAAGGAGCTTTTCTGGAGAGGTTTTTAGGAAGTACTTTTGTGTGTTTTTTAAATAGAGTTGTACAAAAATTTACGTTAGTCAATGAGGAAAAATACTTAATTCATAAAATGAGGAAAAATACTTAAACAGTTCAGAAAAAACATTAACATATGTCATATAATAAATAAATGTGAAAATAATAAATTAGTTCATTAATATTAAAAATAATTAACATTTTTTCACTTCAAGGGACTATGCAAAAGGGGGTAGCCTGTCTATGGATGCAAACAGATAGAATCAAATTCGGATAGAGGTATATTTGAATTCGACCCAATAATGTAAGTTATATATTCGATCCAATTTGATCATCTGACAAATTTCACAAAGATTTATTTGAATTTGAATTCATTAAGTAATGAATCGTTTTTTTAGCTAAATACCTCGTCATTTGAACTACTTCCAAGTGGCTGATGACTCAGGCCGAAGTGGAGAACTTTGCCTGTCGAGCTGAGTCGAGCTGGGCAGGATAGGTGGCGAGCTGACTATAGTGTTGAGCTACCTATGAGGTGCCGAGCTGACCAGGTGGCGAGCTGCCTGTGAGGTGTCGGGATGTCTAGGTGCCAAGCTGCCTATAAAGTGTCGAGCTGCCTGTGAGGTGCCGAGCTGACCAAGTGGCGAGCTGCTTGTGAGGTGCCGGGCTGTCCAAGTGCTGAGCTGCCTGTGAGGTGTCGGGCTGTCCAGGTGTCAAGCTGCCTGTGAGGTGCCGGGCTGACCAGGTGTCGAGCTACTTGTGAGGTGCCGGGCTGACCAGGTGCCGAGCTGCCTGGAGGTGAGCTAACTATGAGGTGTCGAGCTGCCTGGTGACGAGTTTGATTGATGAGCTTCATTGCTTTTTAGAGACCTGCAAGGAACCAAATGTCAGAGGACCCGAGGTGGCTAACCCGGTGAGGTCGCTCTGATGCTTAAGTCAGTACTCTCATAGTAGACTGCGAGCTAAAAATCACAAAGTATGAGAGCTAGAATTTGCTTTACTTGCTTGCTTGCTTGTCATTGGGGTTGATGCCTTTATATAGGTATTGTTTGGCGTGGGCTTCACGCACCATATCCGAGATTTCTGCGAGGTCATCTAAGTGGTTTGAGATTCCTAAAGGTAACCGCCATGCACATTGACCACCCTCCGGATCATTCGGCACGTGGGCCAACTTTTAAGGATCGTGGGAGTGTTAGGATATGCATGCCAAATTTGTCGGTGAGCACATATCGTAGGTCGCCAGGTCGCGCCTAGGCCAGGCCGCCAGGTCGGTGCATGTGCCAGGATGTCAGACCGCGCCTAAGCCATGCCGCCAGGTCGCGCTGGGCCAGGCCGCTGATTGGACACCATCAACTTGGCAAGTTGTTGCCTGAGTGATTCCGGGTGTCACCTAGTTATTTTCACATTTATGTCATATAATAAATAAATGTGAAAAAAAATAAATTATTTCATTAATATTAAAAATAATTAACATTTTTTCACTTCAAGAGTATGCAACAGGGGTAGCCTGTCTATGTATGCAAACAGATAGAATCAAATTCGGATAGGGGTATATTTGAATTCGACCCAATGATGTAAATTATATATTCCATCCAATCTGATCATCTGACAAATTTCACAAAGATTTATTCGAATTTGAATTCATTAAGGATGTTGGATATCCCATTCTGATTTGATTCAATTTAATTTTTCATTTGTTGAAATTTAACAAATTATTAATAAAAAAGCAAAATAATATATACAAAGAAAAATAAAAACACAAGCATTGGATTCTTTTGGATCAAATAGGGGTGGTTCGAATTCGATCCAATTTTTAAACGAATCATATTTTTCAATCCGATCCAATTTGAAAAGCTGACAGAGATATCCATCCGAATGCAACAAAATAGGATCGGATTCAAATTTGAATCATGATGCCATTTGCACTCCAAAGCCTGTCCCCAATACCCATAATCCCCAACCTTGAAGAACTTACCAATAGTCACTATTAGACAGCATCTTCACCACAATATAGTGAGTTTCCAACCATGCTACATCGTATTCAAGTGTTCAGTTATATGGTTAGGGGTGTCAATGGTATTCTAAAATTCGATTCTGAATTCGAGATTTAACATAATTGAATCGAATCAAGATAATTCGAGTATCTAATGAGTCAAATTCGGATATCCTATATATTTATGCCGAATAGTTAATCGAATTTGAATTCAGATATGATCCGATTCGATTCGATAAATATTCAAATTTAAACGATTATTTAATTCTTATATATAATATATAAAATATTTAAATGTTTTATATAATTTATATATATATAATAATTAAATTATATAAATAATTTATATATTTTATATAAATAAAAAATATTTATTTTATATATTTATTAATTACCTAAAATAATTAATTAATTGAATTCAAATCGAATCAAATATTTGAATATTTAATCGGATTCGAATTCGAATATTAATTTTTCATATCCATCAAATATTGAATTTTCTAATTAGTTTCGAATTTGGATATTGCTTGATCCGATTCAAATTCGATCCATTTACACTCATAGTTATGGTGTGGTGTGGACCAAAACCAAATATATCATAGTGTGGTCTACACCATGCCCAAAATATCCACAACAGTATTTTATTTGTAACCACGCCATAGGGGATTATAATCCCCTCAAGAGATACATTCAAAAAAAAATATTTTATTATTATAGCAACAATATTTTTCTAATTATTTGCCATGCATGTAATTAATAATAGGGTAAATTACATATAGATACCCTATACTTTCAGGATAGTGATAGATAGGTCCCTAAATTTTCAATTGCAAAACTTGAGTGAGGTGTACTCTCAAAAACAGACACTTGGGTCCATCCATTAGTATTTCGTTAATTAAACATTGCATAGTGCCAAAACTACCCTTTTCATGTACTTGTAGACCGTTTTTCATTATTATATTTATTTATATGTTTCATTAATATCGTATAAGTTATTGAGTTAGTCAATGGACCAACTACTTGTACAATCAAGTTGGTGTAAATTTTATAGCAATGAGTTTCTTATGATTTTTTATCGAATTGGTGTTATATTCTTTTATATAGTTTGATTAATATTGTATAAGCGTGTAAGTTAGTGCACATAACAATGCACTTGTATCCATGTACCGTATAAATTTATAGTTCATATGTATTTCAAACCCAAACCGAATGTCTTCCCACGATGACATTCTCACATCAAATAACATACTCAAATTTTCAACAACATTTAAAAGGACTATGTTGATGTTTCAACACTGCTCTTTTCCGGATGGCGGCATTCTCTAGCAATGATTTTACTCCACCAACAATTTCCTACCCTCACCCACAAATTCCTTTTCATTGAACTCTCTTATGTTTCTTTGTAGAGATTAGAATGAGCAAACAATGATGCTCATTTAAATGCTATTTTGGTCATTTTTATTTTTTTTTATTTTAATAATTTAAAAAATATATGGGCATTTCAGTAATTTTATCATACACCATAATGTAAATTAACGAAAGTGGACCAAAGTGTCTATTTTATGAGAGTTAAGTGTACTCAAGTGTTGCAATTGAAAGTTTAGGGTACCTATTTGTCACTATCCCCAAAGTACAGGGTACATATCTGTAATTTTCCACTAATAATATTTATTTTACCATTACAAGTGTTATCATATTAGATATTAGAAGTAGAAATTTTAGGTTTTTAATTTTAATATTTTTAGATTATTTTTTTAATAATTATTTATCATTAATATTAGTTCTCTTATATCTGTGTTTTATATTCCATTTAATTTTATAATAATTATTATTTTTTCAATTCAATCGGTATTTTTTATTAAATCGTAGTCATAGTTAAAAATCGACAACATGTTAAATTAATTCATATTATTAGTTTGTATTTTTTCTTAAAAAGCAAAAATAAAATATTAACCGGCATAAATTATTTCACATCATGTATTTGAGATACATGGAATCAAAACACAAGGTGTGGCCTAAACCACACCACACCCTATAGAACGACTATGTGGTGTAGTGTGGTATGGTTCAAGCTATTGATTTTTTTACCATAATACATAACACCTATTCCATTGTAGTGGTGTGGTGTGTTCTCAACCACACCATCCAATTTCTCAACCACGCTACAAAATACCCCCTTAGTTGGTAATAAAATTAACTAACCAACCAATAAAAGGGTTAAATAAATAATCAGATAAACAAGAAAATATTAAATAATAAAATGATTATATAATTAACAAAATAATAAAAGAATCAAAATCTAAGAGATCGATTAAATAATTAATCAAATATAAATAAATTAATGAATTAATTAAATAAAATAGGGAAAATACTTAAATAATCAAGAAAATTACTCAAATATGTTATATAATAAATAATCAAGAAAATTCTTAAATACATT